AATCAAAATTATTCAAAGGGTAAAACACAATATTGCAGTATTGATGCTACTGCTCATTATAGTTATGATTGAGCCCAGAATGTTCATGTCCCACATTCAGATCAACAAGTAAGTAAGATTTATTACCTTAGTCCACGCAAAGTTCATTTATTTGGTATTCAAGATGAAGCAGTAAGGGAACAAATCAATTATGTTCTTGATGAAAATGAAATTATAGGTAAAGGTCCCAATGGTACACTGAGTATGATTTTTGATGGAATTAAGAAGTTGAACAAGGGTGAAAAGCATTTAAAGATTACTTGTGATAATGCAGGTGGGCAAAATAAAAATAATGTAACAATTTGGTTTTATTTATATTTAGTAATTTGTGGTTATTATGAAAGCATTGAATTAAATTTCATGATTGCTGGACACACTAAATTTAAATGTGTTGGTAGTTTTGGATTGATTAAAAAACTTTATAGAAAAACAAGTGTAGATTGTCTGGATCATGTGGTTGAGGTGGTAAAAAGTCTAGTCCAGCAGGATTGAATAAAACTCAATGTTATGGAGGTGGAAAAGGTTTTCAATACTTAGATATCAAGTCTATTTTGGGAATTTATTTTAAGAAGCTAAATGGCTTGCAAAGATATCAACATTTTCTTTTTGAGGCATCTAATCTTGGTACAGTGAAAGTTCAAGAAGTTGCTAATGGACCTTCTGTTGAGTTCAATTTATTGAAAACTAAGAAAGCAGATATTTTTGAAGAAATTAAAGCTCTATCTATTTTAGTGTTAATGCCACCTCCTTTGGATTACAAAAGACAAGAATATCTTTACCAGAATATTCATCCATTTGTTAGAGATGAATTCAAAGATATTACTTGCCCAAAACCATTCTATATTTGCAACAAATAAAATATTCAAAATAAAATCACTTCCATGACTTTATCACTCATTAATTTGTCTCTTGTTGTCATTAAGTTTAATCTTTTTTCCACTTTTAAAGTAAAAATGATTTATTTACTTAATATATCATCATAAAAAGGATATAAATATATTATATTAAAAGAATAAATAAAAAAAGGAACAAACAAGAAAATCATGACAAACATCATAAATGAACAACAACAAGCAAACAAAACACTAATTAATGAAATAGAATTATTGAAGAAACAATTAGCTGAAAACAAAGAAAACTTTAAGTTAAGAACTTGAAATGCTGTTCACAGCCTTACTGAAAGTTCAGAATATACTGGAACAAGTTTAAGAACCTTAGAAAGATTTACTTGACCTAACAATGGTTGAGTAAGTTATCCAGAAAAGAATGGAATTGAAATTGGAAGAGTTGTTTTCGGTGATGAATTCACTCCTGAAAATATTGTTAAAAGTTTTGGTAGTGAAGCATTAAATTATGAAGAGGCTTTTGGTTTTACTTACAAGAAAATGAAGAATTAAAAGTAAAGGATGCTCTTCTAGAAAAAAAGGTTGTTGAGTTTATACATGCTGCCCAAATCCCAAACTATTTGAGATTGTGGCATCCCAAATGCACAAATTAAATTCGTGACAGCCTACTGAAAGATTCCCAAATCCCAAATGTAGATCAGTTTTCCTGCTCAACCAATAAGCACCCAGAATTTGTGAGTGTGATATATGATCCCTTTATTATCCTGGATGCTTATTGGTCAGAAGAGCAAGTACAAGGATTTGATCTACATTTGGGATTTGTACATTTGGGATGCACAAATTAATTTGGGATTTGGGATTCTGAATTTTTAATTTGGGCAGCATCTATAGTTGAGTTACAGCAAATTAATCAAGAGTTGGAAGAAGCATTAGAACTAGAAGTGGAAAAATCTGAATGTCATTTAGAGGCTCTTGAAGTAGCTAGACAATGGAGAGTAAGGCAAAGCAAGGAAAAAGATGACAACTTAGAAAAGGCTTTGAAAAAAATAGAAATGCTAGAAAATGTTGTAGCATGGCAGAATTATTTAGCAGATAAGCAACTTCAAGAATTACCATCCTTACCAAAAAAAGAAAGAAAATTCAAACTCCTAACTAACAAAGTAAAGAACAGAATTAAGCAAGTAAAGGAAATAACCAGAGAAAAATTCAATGCTTATATTTTACAAAAGAGTAAATAGTATGAAATTAGAATATCAAGCTATCAAATTAAGGAGAGGAGATAAATGGCATTGTAATTTCTGTTCTTTTGAAAGAGAAAGGAGTTTAACTGCTACTTACAAAATAGTATCTTACAATACAAGCAATAATGATTACAATGACATTGCTTATATT